ACAAACATATTTAAACAGAATGTTATTAGCAAAATGAGATAAAATGACGCTCCAATTATTCTGGTCAAACTGATCATGAGGTCAGTAAGTCCACAGCAAGGCTATTCCTTCCACCACATGTCTCTCATTGCCTTGACGGTTACATAACTTCCTGACCTCCATGTGTTGATGTTTGTCTCTGAGCGGGACAGAGGCTGCTGTTACCATTTGGCCAAAATCAGTGAATCATAGTCATTGGTACAACCAGAAACAAAGGATCAGCAAGCTTTCATTATGTAAGCCATATGTTTCATCAGTTTTCCCCACAACTTGGAGTACATAACACAACCCTGATACATATAGAATACTAAACGAGCTCCCGTGTAATACCAATTTTATGAAACGAGTGAATAGTTGTGGTATCTGACTCGCTTTCGCTCGTCAGATACCACAACTATTCACGAGTTTCATAAAATTGGTTTTACACGGAACCGAGTTTAGTATTTTATTTATTACTTGCCATTTATAACGTTTTTAGAATTATACTGTTGAGTGTGAATAGGCTGACACCTACACGATCCACGGCATAATCCAATTGAGTTTAACACAATAATACTTCACACACGTCAAAAGTTAAAACGTATGAATTTAATACCATACAACGGCACACCTTTAGAATTCAGGCGTCCGTTCTACAAAATTATCGTAGCGTTAAGGTTATCGCAACTCACATACTTTAACTTAGACCAACGACTGTCGTTGCGCTACCGTACGATCGCCTTGTGGAACGGGGCCTTGCACCTCAAAGTTTACAATCACGTCACAATACCCGATGACGTAATTTGTGGAATTTTGTTGCAAGATCCTTCGGCGAAACAATGCCATGTGACGTCAGCCTAGCAACACGGTTGCTGGGGTCATCGAGTGTGCATGAGCTCCTCTCAGTGATCTATCATCTCCACACGCAATGTCGTTGAATAAGCCAAGGGATGTTGAGAGCTTTCAATATTTGTTCTTGAAACGTGTTCCGAGAGTACATAAGCACGCGATTTGGTATTACACAATGTGTAATACAACTGTATGTTTATTAAACGGGTGATCTCTTCACGGGCAAGTAATAAACCAAGTTATTTTATAGTAACCGTCTAGTGGAACCAGAATGTGTCTACAGACTTGAGGCAGAAGTGAACGTTCGTGTTTGGGGCCGTGATAATGTTCCTTCAATTTGAATTGACAATGTGAAAACAAAAACTGTTTGAGCATATACACGATTATTAATACCAAGAATGTACCTGCCTAATTGACATAAAAGACGACATGAACATGACATAAAACACATAACGAGTATCCATGACCATTGGGACTTTTGAAGACCTGTCTGTAATAACCTATTCAGTTTTGTCCTAGTTATTGATAATGACGAATTTCACATCAACAATATGTTGAATCGGTTTAAAAATCCGTATTATATTATACTCAGATTAGACGTATCCTTGCAGATATAAGTCAACCATTACCACAGGATGGAATCCATCAAATAATCAATACAATCAGCGGGCATATGAACATATGTATGGTGAAATTGCTATTTCAACACATTTAGATTGGCGTCTGCATGGAGTTAATCATGGTTTTGGTATCCCATACAGTGGCTCACGCTCTGTTCAAGAAGTGTTCAGCTCCAGTTCTCAATCTTGGTGTAGGAGAGGGCACGGGTGGACCAGTGGACGCCGCGACTCGCTGCGCAGAGTTCGCCAGAAACCTATGATTGTGGGTTCGAATCACGGTTCGCTCCAATTTTGTTTCTAGGTTTGTCAGCACCATTACCGTGCTCGAGGGTTTCACCGAAGTGGTAAACGTCTGAGACCTACACCACTTCAGGCTTTCCTCCCACATTAGGCTGACACGCCTTGATATAACTGGAATACTGTTAAAAGCGGCGTTAAACACAACTCACTCACTCACTCACTTTGGTGCAGGAGAGCAGAAATTAACTGTTGTGTGATGGGGATCATAATCAGTAGCACCATCTTCCCCCAAGCTGAATCTAGGTGTCGTGGCTTGTCTGGGTTGTTGTTCTGGAGCAGGTCTGTATGGAAGAGGGATAGAATCTAGGTGTCGTGGCTTGTCTGGGTTGTTGTTCTGGAGCAGGTCTGTATTGAGGAGGGATAGAATCTAGGTGTCGTGGCTTGTCTGGGTTATTGTTCTGGAGCAGGTCTGTATGGAGGAGGGATAGAATCTAGGTGTCGTGGCTTGTCTGGGTTGTTGTTCTGGAGCAGGTCTGTATGGAGGAGGAATAGAATCCAGGTGTCTTGACTTGTCTGGGTTGTTGTTCTGGAGCAGGCCTGTATGAAGGAGGGATAGAATCCAGGTGTCTTGACTTGTCTGGGTTGTTGTTCTGGAGCAGGTCTGTATGGAGGAGGGATAGAATCTAGGTGTCGTGGCTTGTCTGGGTTGTTGTTCTGGAGCAGGTCTGTATGGAGGAGGGATAGGCACAGGGTACAGGGCGTTGCCTGCATATAATTTGTCGACAACAACCTTAGCTTTCTTGTGTTTTTATTTCTAGCTTCTCTCATAAGTGGAAATAAGACATTTCCTGCTGTATTCACTTACTTCATCAGGGAATAGCTCCACCATTCGGTATGGCCTACCCTGGACTTCCCTGCCTGCCTTGTTCACTCTATCCCTCTCTGCAGTAATGTTGAACTTGGCTATAATGGACCTGGTAGAATGGTCTGGTAGAACCACCACTAGGTCTCCCTCTGGGTCCTATTCTGTGAACTCTCTGAAAGTTTATCTGATCAGCAGCAACCTTAAGTTCATTCTTATCAATGTTCTCGGTATGTGTTCAGTATCTTCAGGGGCTTGTGGTGTGTCTTCTTCGATTCCAGTGAAAATGAGATTAAACCTCATTCATCTACAGCGTAGATCTCCCATAGAGGTTTGAAGATTTTGTTTAATAACAAACCAGTCATCAAATTTAGAAATGACGATTTCTACACTAATTTCAACAGTATCTACTTTAGACTTTAGTTCATCTCGCTCTGCTATGCTGATCTCTAAGCGATAAACTTTGTTATGTGTTGTTATTGGTATATATTTATGTGTAAAATGTAACTCATGTACCACCGTTGGTGGTTCCTTTGAGTAAGAAAGAGAGTTTCTTTAGTCATGGTAGAATGGATCCGGAGATAAACATTGTGCGTTTTCCATGTAGATGTTAACTCTGGAGTTAACCGCGCTAAAAGAAGCATTTGAAACTTTACGGAGAAGTATTTGTTTCGTCGTGTCAAAACGAGTATGCATCCAAAAATCCTATGCACGGTCAATTTGTTTCAGCAATGTAAAGAATTGGGTGTCACCTCTCCTTTGTAATATCTAGTTCCAACTTTGCCCAAATAGTTTCTGTGACCAAGATATACTGTAACACTATCCTGCCGGTGAGACAGCAGTGAACGACGCCACTGTCACCAACACTGGTGTTTATTGTCAACCAAGCTGTGTACTTGGCGATTAATGTGAACAGATGTGCAGGCAATTAATGTTGTTTGTATTGTTAAGTTTTAAATGGCTGCATGTGGAGGTAGCTTATGTACTCTTAAGGGAATAATCTAATGTTTCATATCTAAATGATAACAGTCAATTTATGATACTTATATTATTAATGAAACAATTAAATATTGGTATAAAGATTATTACCTGACAACCGTACTACATTCGTTCTTACACATGCAAGGGTTGGATTTCTGAAATGTTTAAATACTCAAACTTGGATAAAATTAGTTGGAAAAGGCTACGTTTAGAATCTGCATGATACCCGTGAAGGTCCGGGGTAGAATAGGTCTCCAGCAACACATGCTTGCCGTGAAAGGCGACTATGCTTGTCATAAGAGTCGACTAAAGGGATCGAGTGGTCACTGACATGGTTGATGCATGTCATCGTATCCGGGTAGAAGAAGAAGCTGCCGATGAGATGAAGCGTACTGTGACGTATCCCAACTGTAAACAGCCCTGGTTTGACATATCGTGTGAATATTATTATCATGCAAAATACCGTTTGTTAAAGATTTTCTGACGTGAACATCACTATTCTTCTCTTTGCGATAATATTTCAGTTAGCATAAAGTATGTTAATACTGTTAGCAAAAAAAGAAAAGCTTATCAAGACAGTATTGTATCTTGAGTTTTACAATGTATGAATAACAGTAAGCTATTTTGGTTATCTTTTAAATGTCTGTGTGAACGTAACCACATGCATGGAGCTAAATCAAATTACAATGAACCAGGGGTTTGCATTTTAATTCGATGTTCGACACGGATTCAGTGAATGCTTTTGAGATTGGTGATCCAGAAATACTTGAACTTGGAATGTTGATGAAGTAACTGATTCTATTTTGGGTTCGCTGAATAGACAAATTACTCGCTCTCTCTCTCTCTCTCTCTCTCTCTCTCTCTCTCTCTCTCTCTCTCTCTCTCTCTCTCTCTCTCTCTCTCTCTAGCTCTCTCGCTCTCTCTCTCGCTCTCTCTCTCTAGCTCTCTCGCTCTCTCTCTCTCTCTCTCTCTCGCTCTCTCTCTCACACACTCTCTCTCTCTGACACAACGTTACTACAGCGATACATATTTCCCTCGCGGTCGTGATCTTATCTTACAGATCTAACAAAATCACAAAAAAACACCCTCAGGCATATAGACAATATTATCATCATTCTTGCCACAGGCCCTGTCTCCATCTGGAGGACGCCTGTTTGTTTACTGTCATTAACAGCAGGTACCCCCTCGGCTAAGCAAACCCCGTAACTGCTCTGATAGGGCCAGGTCAAGCATATTGGGTATCAGAGTGAACCACATATCACATGATCCAATTGTATAGAAAATATAGATAACGCTTTGGGAGAATATTTATCATAGTTATCAACGTAATTGAGTGAGATCACTAAGATAAAAGCATGTTAACGTTATGGAATGGTAGGACCATTGTGAGAAGATTCCGGTGTATTTATCAAGTGTAAGGCGATGTCACGACTGTCATAGATCATTTGCTATCACCCACACGGCATACCATGAACCGGCAACATGTTGACCCCTTCCGTCCTCAGGATTATAGCAGTAGTCATTCTCCACAAAGATCCACTGATCCATACAAGAAGGTATGTGTGAACTTTAGTATCGTTTTACTTATTACGTTTGTAAAGTGTTCCATTACGACTCACATTAATAGATAACCAGATGGTGGCGTTAATACTTATTGAAGGCGCGGCATTGAAATCTGTTACTACCCTTGGCGACCACAACCTCGTATATAACACTTCATGCTTGTAGGCTTTCTGGTTCAATCGCCTCGGTTATAAATGACAGTGGAACGTCCGTCTGTCTTATCTACTCGTATATAACACTTCAAGCTTATAGGCTTTCTGGTTCAATCGCCTCGGTTGTAAATGACAGTGGAACGTCCGTCTGTCTTATCTACTCGTATATAACACTTCAAGCTTATAGGCTTTCTGGTTCAATCGCCTCGGTTGTAAATGACAGTGGGACGTCCGTCAGTCTTATGTACTCGTATATAACACTTCAAGCTTGTAGGCTTTCTGCTTCAATCGCCTCGGTTGTAAATAACAGTGGGACGTCCGTCAGTCTCATGTATTCATGCTGCATCAGATTTGTGTCTTTGGGGTTGAGGTTAACGTGGCAGTGATGGACATGTGGGATGAGTACTGTTAGTATTAATAGTGATGTATGAGTTAATTATTATTATTATTATTATTATTATTATTATGATTATGATTATGATTATTATTATTATTATTATACGCAGTAGTAGTAGTAGTAGTAGTAGTTATAGTTGTAGTAGTAATAGACGAAAAAGAAGACGAAGTAGTAGTGAGGTAAAATGGGCTTTATTGTCGCGTTCAAGATTATTGGACTTTTATAGCCACGTGTGTGCGCGCACTTTAACATTGATGCGACATGGTATATCAGTGGGCTAGCTCTATGAAACACACACGCGCGCGCGCGCAGATATGGTGCTGACAAACCATCACAGATGTCATGACCAGTGCGATTATGATATTCTTGTCAGTAGATCAGCGGATCCTGACACATCAAAGGCTCAAAACTGTTCACAGTAGGTCAGATGAGTTAGTAATAAATCCAAGAAAAATAAGTAGGTGTTTAATAGCCTTAAAGCTAAAGGAAAAGAAACTGGACACCCATGAATTATAGTTGTGTTTTGGACATTAAGTGTTTTCAGCCTAGTAAATAACGTTTTAATAACGTGTGGTGTTTTGGCCTAATCCAATTGTCAAATGTATACTTTCTATTGCCCGACAGGTTTAATTTGAATTCAATTATTTTGTTTTAGAGTTCTCAGCCGAGCACAACCGCAAAAGTTTTCGAAAATCTCGAGATCAACTTGCCAGACTCCCAATATGACGACATTGATGAGAGCACCAATCGTATCTCATCGCCACAGAAAGCGCCCTCAAAGCGGAGATGCATTATCATGACGCTAGTCGTTGCTTTCGTCACTGTTGTCGCCATCGTAGTACCAGTCATCGTTGTTATTAAAAATGGACAAGCAACAGGTATGACATTACATTTTTAATTATATATACCTTGTTATATACTTTCATGTTGAAAACATTCTGCCTAATGTGCAAATATATGGAAGGTGTGAGTGACCGAATCTTGTTTTACGCCGCAACCGACATTATGTAAACAACGTCGGGGCGACCTGTAATTGTAGTATCGACCAAACAAACCAGCGAATGACTGTTGCTGGACGCCGACATTTGCAATATTTTGCCTAAAAAAGATAGCTACGCGAAATATCGCAAAGAACAATGAAAAACGAAGCGTGGTATATTTCACGATAAAACAATGACGTTCTATCATGACGTCATTTCTGGAGATTCCAACATGCGCTCGCAACTTGATGACGTCGTATGTTTGACGACGTTATTGGTGATAAGGGAGTGTCTAGTGAGTTGTTCCCCATAGATATAGTAGGGCAACGCAGATAAACGCGATGGCCGAACAATCGCATCGATATCCCAATTCGGAAGAGATATGACAATATGTACATGAGCAATGAGATATGAGCAAAGGTACAGATAATCGACGTAAGGATTGTGAGAATATGCGGGAAATAGCCACATGTGCATAAAATAGACTCGTCCGATGTTGTCGAGGTCTGGTTCTATAGGGAGTCATCATTATTTAAATACGGTTTAATATTTTTAAAGCTTGTACATTTTATCAACATCCCAAAAGAGGGGCTACATAATGTTGATGTCTCGTGCGCCCCTCATGGTTTATTCTCCCAGGAGTGTTTTATTGTACGATAAACAACGACCACGATTCGATTATTTCTTAAATATGAAGGAGTTGTGTAATTTCGACCAGTGATTGATGTTATGAACAACGATCCAAACCATCGGGGTGCAATGACACGCAATCAAGCAAGTTATACAGCCTGCGACTGTAAATAACAATCCACGTCATCCGGACACAATGAGACACAATGAGACACAATGAGACACAATGAGACACAATGCGACAGAGTGAGACACAGTGAGACACAATGAGACACAATAAGACACAATGCGACACAATGAGACACAATGAGACACAATGAGACACAATGAGACACAATGCGACACAGTGAGACACAATGAGACACAATGCGACACAATGAGACACAACGAGACACAACGAGACTCAATGAGACACAATGAGACACAATGAGCCATGTCAGTTGTATGATTGAATGACATTTTACGACGTACTCATCAATATTGTAGCTATATCACGGCGGTCAGAAGACACCGAATCTAGTGTAGGCAACCAGTGGTTGATAGTATGAGCAACGATTCATTGGGGTGCAGTCCGCCGGGTAGAACGCTGTTGTCATGCAGAACGAACTCGTTATACGGAAGAAGAAGCTGTGGTCCCTTATTACCAGGGAGCTTTGATTATTTTGATGACTATCGGAAAATGTAACTCAAACTCGAATAATAGCGTAATATTTATATTGTCAGTAATAAAAAGACACTTTGTCAAATGAATATATTTGCAATCCTGCCTGAACAAAGAAAACCCACGACATTCAGATCCATTCGGTTTATTCCGGAAAATACAATCATCAATGAAATATAGCTGGAATATTGCCGAGTGCGGCGTTAAACAACAAACAAACAAACAAACAACCTGTCTGACGCTGAAGCTGGTTAGCTTTATCGTGTACACTCAAGACACTGGTTATTAATGTTTACAGACTTACAAAGTAGGAAGAATGATTTTGGATGATGAATCGAATCTCACCATTGTGTATTTTGATATGATATCAAACATAGCAAAACTAGTCGGAAAATGTTTACGACTCTTCAGCAATCGTCAGGCTTTCATCGACTTGTGTTCATATATTTATAACAAAAGACACTCGAATAAGAGTCTCGGGTATATATCCCTTGAACAATTTGATCAGATACCATTAGTTTGTCCCCAACGACATTGCTCAAGGGTATTATCATCGTGACAATGTTAGACAAAAAGATTAAACATAAATACAGCGATACGACAGCGATGCCCCCGGGGCCCCGTATATATACAATGGGATAGATCATATCTATGTGAAACGAGGTGTGACGGTTTATCTGTTCCGAGAATATTAATTTTTAATGTTTAACTTTATTTCGCGAGGTACAGACAATCCGATATTCCATGTTTGCGAACAGGTCATCTTAAAAGTATACACGGCCTTTCAGAGAAAATGTAGAAAAATGTGGATTACCTGATCTGGAGAGGAACTCAGTAAATCTATTGTTAAATAATGAGTGAGTGAGTGAGTTGGGTTTAACGCCGCTTTTAACAGTATTCCAATTATATCACGGCGTATCAGCTTAATGTGGGAGGAAAGCCCAAAGTGATGCAGGTCTCAGACGTTTACCACTTCGGTGAAACCCACGAGCACGGGTAAGGTGCTGACAAACCTAGAAATAAAATCGGGGCGAACCGGGATTCGAACCCACACTCATAGGTTTCTGGCGTGCCCGAGGGACGCAACTCTGCACAGCGAATCGCGGCGCTATTGTTATATAGAATGACGTCGCATAAAATGTGCAAATTGTGTGATTGACGGTTGACACCGCTGGGACTGGACATGCTTACCCTCATTTTCAGTGATTCATCCCTATTCAAGTTCCATGCCTTTCGGGGCGGTCGGGTAGCCTAGTGGTTAAAGCGTTCGCTCGTCACGCCGAAGACCCGGGTTCGATTCCCGACATGGGTACAATGTGTGAAGCCCATTTCTGGTGTCCCCCGCCGTGATATTGCTGGAATATTGCTAAAAGCGGCGTAAAACCATATTCACTCACTCACTCCATGCCTTTCACGCCATCCAGTGGATACTCGAGACTGGTGGTTCTCTGTCGTTGACCTTTAATAGTATAATTAAAGATGACAATATCATCCTGAACATTGGATGACGTCATTATGTATTTTGGACATCTCGTTACGTTATCATGGGCGTCATCGCAAACAATTAAAACAATGAAGGCAAATCATAATGTCCAGTTAGAATAATGGAAATAATTTTACCTATTTTTGTTCTCTGGGTAACATAAGTATATGTATCTTCAAGTGATCCACCATTGGGATTTATGTCAGCGAGAGTAGCTGTAGTACAGTCAAGTCTCATTAATCCGACACTCGTTAATCCGACACTCAGCTTTATCCGACTTGTATTTTCAGTGAAGTGATTTAGGCGAACACCTGGTGTCATCACTGACTTGCAGTGATCCATTCATGTTATATTCACCGATATTTTGCCTTTTATTGATTTATTATAATTAGGACTAATTATTCTCTGGCGTTGACGTTTAATTATAGTATTATCTGACGTTTATGACGGTTCGGATTAGCCGATGTCTCTGGAAGCTGACGCACCTGAAAGGGACAGATTTTGAGCTTAAAATGACGATCACCAGAGCTACGGTTAATCGGAGTTTGAGCTGAAGGTTTGTGGCAGCTGAGTAAGAATTAATTCATGACAGATGTGCGCAGCAGGATCTTGACTGAATTTAGATATAAACCTACAGTATTTTGATTTATGATTAGAGGTTTCAAATGTAGATTTGATATCCGTAAAATATCAATCGGAAACGTACCCGCAGATATGAATAAATGTTGAGATTGGGTGAATTAGGAGATAAACCCAATCGTGTTTTCAAATTATAGAATTCGACATTGGATACCGCTACATTTTCTTTTAAATATTTTTTTTCAAATGGGAGCTTGATTGTTTACTTTAGTAAACGTCAGAACGTCGAAGTATTGTGACGCTGTAAATATGTCGTCGCTGTAAGTGATTGAGTAACACTGAGTGTTTACAACATTTTACAAAACTCCTTTTAAGTCGTTATCTTGCATATACTGCCGTACAGGCTTTAGCGACCCTTGAAGATCCGGGGTAGAATAAGTCTTCAGCAACCCATGCTTGCAGTAAATGGCGACTATGCTTGTCGTAAGAGGCGTCTAACGGGATCTGGTGGTCAGGCTCGCTGACTTGGTTGATGCATGTCATCGATCCAAATTGCGTGGATCGATGCTCATGATGTGAATCACTGGACTGTCTGGTCCAGACTCGATTATTTTCAGACCGCCATCATATAGCTGGAATGTTGCTGAGTGCGGCTTAAACAACAAACAAACAAACAAACAAACAAACAAACAGAACATGATTTAGCTCACAATAAATCCCCGGCAACCAATGTATATCGTAAGAAGGAACTTAATGGATCGGGCGACTTGGTTGTGACTTGCTTGCGAATGATTGTACATGTCAGTGGATCGTCGGTTCTTTATTTGATCATATGCAGGCCGCAGTCATGAAGGAGTGAGCGAGGTTGGTTTTACAAGCTTTCAGGAATATTCCAGTTGGGACACCAGAATTGGTTTTCACACATTGTTCCCATGGGGGAATCGAACCCGAGTCTTCAACGTGACTAGCGAACACCTTAATATAGGCTGCCCACCCGCCCCCATGAAGAAATAATGATAAGTGCGGCATTGAACAACACGCAAACAATTGGAAGCAATGATAATTTGCACTCATCTTCTAGTTATCTCACATTGTTTCTTGACCAAAATAAGTGATTAAAACACCAACTAGTCATGATTGAAGAAAACGTGTATTCAAGGAAATAGTTGGGTTTTTTTCTTTTGCAGTGATGCGATAAGAAACAATCTTATGCTTAAACGAGGATTCCATACCGATAACGGACAAATCAGAATGAAAGATTCTGAAAGTCTAATAATAAGTGAGTTGGTCGGGTACCCCTGCAAAGCGATCGAAGCACTAAGACTGTCGTAAGTCCATCAATTTAACACAGACTCACAACAGTATGTGATTTGCTGAAAAACCCCATAAAAACCACTATTTCCCCTGAGAAATAAGCATGCATCCGTAATCTCATTTAAGGCGGTTCAGTGGCCTGGTTTTATTTAGCTGCACAAAGTTGCGTCCCCTGTGATGGTGGGTTCGAATCCCAAATTCTCTATGATTGTGATAGTTGAGTTGTCAGCCCCTGTCCGACCTTGTGGTTGCCCCCAACGTGTTACACGTCCGGGTCTGTATTACGGCGCACGGCGTTAAATCCAATTCACTCATCGTATGCTTATGTTTCTGTTTTCGAGTAAAAAAACTAAGCGCGATGCACATGTCCTCAGTGGCTTTCTTGTTTTCGAGCATTAACGTTTCTTTGTTTGTTTGCATGTTTGTTTGTTGTTTAACGTCGCACTCAGCAGTATTCTAGGTATATGAGGGCGGTCTCTACATATTGAAGTCTGGACCAGACAATCTAGTGACTGACATCGTGAGCATCGATCTACGAAATGTTTTGATACAATGACATGCATCAACTGTGTCAGTGAGCCTGAGCACCCGATCCCGTTGGTCTCCTCGTACAACAAGCATGGGTTGCTGAAGACAACCCGAGTGTTTATGGGTATTTAGCAGTATAGATAATGGACCGTTTTATGTTTTATCTCTAGACGAAGCCTTGGCACAAGGAGACACCCTGAAGAATGTTGGTGATATTAAAACTCCTGCAACCTCAACTACCTCACTGTCGTCGACGACACCAGCATCACCGACCCCATCGTCTACCTTAGATACATCTTCTACATCATCTTCCTCAGCAACTAGCACTGATCCATTCAGAACATCACCCACGACAACAGCAGTTACAACGTCTACGTCAAGCTCCACTTCATCCACGACTACAGGGCCCACACAAAGTACATCTACAGCGTCTACTACAACTACGATGACATCATTAACGGCTACTTCACCGCCACAGACAGGTAAGATATTGATCTTAGTAGTAATTCCAGAGGACGTTAAGTGTGCATGTGTTATGTGAAATCTGTTGGATAATCGACTGGTTACTCGCTGTCATTGACGTTTTGTGTTAGGCGGTTATTAGCGATGACTAAACAAAACATTTTTATTTTATTCAAAAACAGCTTCTATTGTGTCGATAACAACAGCTCGGTCTTATTTGTATATTCTTTCTATTGTTTTGTTATCGACAATCGAAAAATACGATATTTCCTCCCATGTGTTGATCTAGCTACGCATGCCAAATGCGTTGATAACTTTAGATTAGCTCTACAATGGCAATCGTGAATGTATTGCTCTACAATGGCAATCTGGAATGTATTGCTCTACAATGGCTGTCGTGAATGTATTGCTCTACAATGGCAATCGTGAATGTATTGCTCTACAATGACTGTCGTGAATGTATTGCTCTACAATGGCTGTCGTGAATGTATTGCTCTACAATGACTGTCGTGAATGTATTGCTCTACAATGGCTGTCGTGAATGTATTGCTCTACAATGGCTGTCGTGAATGTATTGCTCTACAATGACTGTCGTGAATGTATTGCTCTACAATGGCTGTCATGAATGTATTGCTCTACAATGGCTGTCGTGCATGTATTGCTCTACAATGGCAATCTTGAATGTATTGCTCTATAATGGCTGTCGTGAATGTATTGCTCTACAATGGCTGTCGTGCATGTATTGCTCTACAATGGCAATCTTGAATGTATTGCTCTACAATGGCAATCGTGAATGTATTGCTCTACAATGGCTGTCGTGAATGTATTGCTCTACAATGGCTGTCGTGAATGTATTGCTCTACAATGGCAATCGTGAATGTATTGCTCTACAATGGCTGTCGTGAATGTATTGCTCTACAATGACTGTCGTGAATGTATTGCTCTACAATGACTGTCGTGAATGTATTGCTCTACAATGGCTGTCGTGAATGTATTGCTCTACAATGGCAATCGTGAATGTATTGCTCTACAATGACTGTCGTGAATGTATTGCTCTACAATGGCTGTCGTGAATGTATTGCTCTACAATGACTGTCGTGAATGTATTGCTCTACAATGGCTGTCGTGAATGTATTGCTCTACAATGGCTGTCGTGAATGTATTGCTCTACAATGACTGTCGTGAATGTATTGCTCTACAATGGCTGTCGTGAATGTATTGCTCTACAATGGCTGTCGTGAATGTATTGCTCTACAATGGCAAACGTGAATGTATTGCTCTACAATGACTGTCGTGAATGTATTGCTCTACAATGGCTGTCGTGAATGTATTGCTCTACAATGGCAATCGTGAATGTATTGCTCTACAATGACTGTCGTGAATGTATTGCTCTACAATGGCTGTCGTGAATGTATTGCTCTACAATGGCTGTCGTGAATGTATTGCTCTACAATGGCTGTCGTGAATGTATTGCTCTACAATGGCTGTCGTGCATGTATTGCTCTACAATGGCAATCTTGAATGTATTGCTCTATAATGGCTGTCGTGAATGTATTGCTCTACAATGGCTGTCATGAATGTATTGCTCTACAATGGCAATCTTGAATGTATTGCTCTATAATGGCTGTCGTGAATGAATTGCTCTACAATGACTGTCGTGCACGTATTGCTCTACAATGACTGTCGTGAATGTGTTGCTCTTCAATGGCAACCTTGAATGTATTGCTCTACAATGGCAACCTTGAATGTATTGCTCTACAATGGCAATCTTGAATGTATTGCTCTACAATGGCTATCGTGAATGTATTGCTCTACAATGGCAATCGTGAATGTATTTCTCTTCAATGGTAATCTTGAATGTATTTCTCTACAATGGCAATCTTGAATGTATTGCTCTACAATGGCAATCCTGAATGTATTGCTCTACAATGGCTATCGTGAATGTATTGCTCTACAATGGCAATCGTGAATGTATTTCTCTTCAATGGTAATCTTGAATGTAATTCTCTACAATGGCAATCTTGAATGTATTGCTCTACAATGGCAATCTTGAATGTATTGCTCTACAATGGCTATCGTGAATGTATTGCTCTACAATGGCAATCGTGAATGTATTTCTCTACAATGGTAATCTTGAATGTATTTTAGAGATGAAGATGTTTGGATCGGAGACGTCACTTGACGACGGAGCATCGTCTGTCATCTGCAGCGTGACACATCCGTACAATTGGGAATACGTCAGAATACGTCACGTCGACATGAGCGGAAAGAAGAGAGAGATCTGCAGAATTGCTAAGGGATCCAGCCCACAACTCGACAGCGCCATGGACGCGAACAAAGTCTCGGTGAGCTCTTCCTGATGTGAAACTGGAAACTTGAAAAGTTGAAAAAAACTTCATTATCCCCTTTCCCATTTACATATATTTACAACTCCATTATATCTTTGGCCACGTATCTACACATATCAAGATTTTCACGATGATAAATATCTGAGATAGCAGTGACACCTGCTGAAACGCTGCCACAAGAACTCGCTGGTTGGGTAGCCGAGTGGTTAAAGCGTTCGCTCGTCACCAAATGTATCAGCTGGTCGAGCTCCCTGATGCTGCACTCAGCAATATTCGATCTACAAGTGGGGCGGTTGGGTAGCCTAGTGGTTAAAGCGTTCGCTCGTCACTCCGAAGACCCGGGTTCGATTCCCGACATAGGTACAATATGTGAAGCCGATTTCTGGTGCCCCCCGCGGTGATATTGCTGGAATATTGCGGCATAAAACCATACTCACTCATTCACTATAATGGACATAAATTGGGGAGGCAGATAAAAGGTTTGTCAAATCCAGCCACATTTAAAAATCGAACCACTGGACCATGTTGTAACTTCGAGATAATCGGACATTCGAGATAGCGAGGCACGGACAGACAGGCAGATCATGTAACAGAATCATGCATCCATAGCAATATGATTGCATACACGTAACTGATGTAATGTAACTTGTAATAAGTTATATCAGTTCTGTCCACTTGTTTCTGAATTGTGTCAAAACTGTTTGCATTCACCCAATCATTTGGCCTTGATCTTATTGACCGTTTTTTACTTGAAGGTTACGTGGAACGTGACGTCATCAAGTCTGTATTTCCTATTGGCGTTCACGCCTGCCAACTGTGAAGACGTGGGGACGTATTTCTGCGACCTTGTCACGGACTCGGGAACCAGAACATCTGTTTCCACTGTCACAGTGAAAGGTACACAACGTTCATAGGCTCTTCCAAACATATACATTTATATAAGTATAAAATTCAAACGTAAACACACCGAAAACGGGATGTGATATTGCTTAACAGTTTTGTATATTTTCTGAATGACATTTTATGTTGATTCGCATTGTTAGAATTTGTTTGGTTGTTATGTTAGAATAACTACCAGAGATACACAACTAATGACTAGAGCGAAACCTAGTCATCTCAAAGGCACGAGGACCACCAAACCCGTGAAATATCCGGGGTACAATAGGTCTTCAGCGACCCATGCTTGCTGCAAAAAGCGGCTATGCTCGTCGTAAGAGGCGACTAACGGGACCGGGTGGTCAGGCTCGCTGACTTAGTTGATGCGTGTCATCGTATTCCAATTTCGTGGATCGATGCTCATAATGTCAGTCACTGGATTGTCTGGTCCCGATTCGATTAAATTACAGACCGCCGTCATATAGCTTGAATATTTGGCGAGTTCGGCGTTAATTAAACAAAAAATAAACGTAGACCACCAAGAACAAAGTAATGCGCCCCGTTTACGCGACATTACTATTATGATTATAGTACAATATAAATAATTTATTATTATAGTCATAATCGTCATAACAATAATCATTATTATTATCATTATCATTATTTTTTATTGTTGTAATTTGTTGTTGTTGTTATTATTATTATTATTATTATTATTATTATTATTTCCAGCCATGCCTTCAAAACCTTCTCTGACTACACCCAAGACGGTGGTTGCCGGGCGACGGACTGAGATCTCATGCATGGGGAACGTCGGTTTCCCTGGGGGGATGATGACGTTGTATATCAAGGACAAGGAAACAGACGTTCTCAGGGAAATCGGCGCGAATGATGGACTGACTCGGGAATTCAGACGGGAGGAGTGTCACAATTACGTGAATCTCACCTATACATACAGTCCGCCCCAAGACGGGAACGACACCGCCATTGTATGTTTGACGGAAAATAGTTTCGTAGCAACCGACGTCATCAGGGCGTCAGCTGATTTGCAAGTACTCCCGGGTAATATACAGCAAGAATCGAAACCATGAAAGATAACCAATTGTAAATCAAGATTCGAACTGGTGCCTAGAAACATACTAAGGGACGCAACCGCTGCAACTAAGACGACAAGGCCACCCGCTAAAGAACATTATCTAATACAGACGAACGATTTTTTTTTCCGAATGGTTGGATATTATTTCTTAATACTTCTTAACAGTATAATTATTTTATTTCCATTTCAATTTATTATCATTATTTTTACGACTACTATCATGTTAAAATAGTATTATCACTATTGTCATTATTATTTTCATAATGGTCGACTCAGAGCTTTGTCCGTTGTCTATCGTCAAATTAATATCAGCAAACGGACTTTTTCAGGCAACATTTGCACGTCTTCCTCCGGACCCTCCTCCACCGTGCCCTTCCCCTTCACCTGTGAGAGCTTCGTCATGTGTCAAGGTGGCACGGCGTCGGTGGTGGCCTGCCCCGCCGACACGTGCTACAACGCCGAGACGTTGCTTTGTCAACAAGATGGCGGAGACACGCCGTCCAAATCAGGTACTTTTTTATTTATTTTTTATCCATTGAACCTGGTTTGCACATCAAGAGCGACAACAGCAATGTTTGTTTGTTTGTTTGTTGTTTAACACCGCACTCAGCAATATTCTAGCTATATGAGGGCGGTCTGTAGATAATCGAATCTGGACCAGACAGTCCAGTGGATGACATCATGAGCATCGATCTTCGCAATTGGGGAAAACAGCTATGTACGGCCACTGTTATGTTCAATTGAGTTTTTAGCGTTAATTGTACGTAAACCACCTTTAGTGAAAAAATATGAAATTATAGTTTCAAAATAAAATCAGGTAACATCAAGGTGTATTGATTTACATATAAAAAGAATTCAGGAAATATCCGAACGCGTTTAGTTTATAATTTGTTGTTATTTCAGATATATCGCTTGTGACATCAGCAACTATTCTGAACGCGAGCACTCCGTTTGTGACGTGCATGGCTTCTAACGTGACGGGCCAATATAACCTCACCATCTCTCATTCCAACGACGCCGGCATATTTGAGAGCCTTGTTTCAGTGTTCCTGAACACTATGACGTCATATTCAGCCTTGACCTCTCGCAACGTCACCTCCAACGTGACGAGGGAAGACGGTATGGTTGCTGTATCTCTAATCGCCCATGCCATCTCTTGCACAGATGGGGGATTATATAGATGCCATCTACAAACAGCTTCTGACAAGATCAGCAGAGATGGCACCGTGACAGTTAATGGTAAGGGGAATGATTAAGTGAGTGAGTGAGTGCCGCTTTGATCAGTATATTCTTACATCACAGCGTGATGACGCAGATGGTTGACGTTTCCACGTAAGCAGGTTTGATGCAGATTAAACATGATTGACTGAAGGACGATTCCGGGATAGGGGCTTGTGGCGTCTTAAATAGTAGGACCCAGATTATTATCATGATCGTGTATATGTACTAAAAATCACATGAATCACTTTACCAAAATGGTGAAAAATATTAATATATTAAATATGTAACAGATTTGCAAGTAATAAAAGTAGGAATATTGAATGACATATTGTATATCATGAAACAAAGATCTCCCGTTCGCAATTTGATTATGTTCACATTGACTACAACGTTGATTGCCTTTCCTTGCCTTTGGTACTTCCGCCTTTTTTATAGCTGAAGATAACAGTAGTATCTGTAAGATTCCTGTGTAGTGTTTGTTTGTTTGTTTGTTGTTTAACGCCGCACTCAGCAATATTATAGCAATATGACGTTGGTCTCTACATATTTAAGTCTGGACCAGACAATCCAGTGATTGACATCATGAACAACGATCTACGCAAAGTTTGGACACAATGACCTGCATCAACTGTGTCAGCGAGTCTGAGCACCCGATGCCGTTAGTCGCCTCGTACGGCAAGCATGGGTTGCTGAAGACAACCCGAATGTTTATGGTGATTTAGCCATGTAGATAATGGACCGTTTTATCTCTAAATAATCAAGTCTGGACCAGACAATCCAGCCCGAAGAGATGCAGGTCTTAGACGGTTACCACTTCGATGAAACCCACGGGCACGGGTATGGTAGTGACAAACCTAGAAACATAATCGAGGCGAACCGGGATTCGAACCCACATCATAGATTTCTGGCGTGCCCAAGGGACGCAATTCTGTACAGCGAATCGCGGCGCCTAAGACGACTGGGCCCCCTGTAATATTAAATGTAGGGTAATATAACTTTAAAGTTCAATTATCGTAACAATAGTATCGGGATAAGGATTTCGATTTAACGAGGTTGCACTTTACAATTATTTCATTGATGTATAAAAGGATTGCAGGGAGACATAAGTTCATCACCGTTCATCATTGTCATAATCATCATGCAATTATTATTACTTCAGCACTTTCACCATCATCAAAATCAAATGCCGTCACGTTATTATCATCATCGTCGTCGTTGTTATTGTTATTTTTTTGTTATTATTTTTATGATTATGATTTCTGTTATCATTTCCATCATCACCATCGTCATCATAATTTTTATTGCTATCACTATTATTTAACAGTGCTCATTAATATTCAATAATAACCCTATATCATGGATATATTATTGTTCAAAACTGTCGTATTATTTCAGCCCACCCAAACAAGCCATCCCTTTCATTTGATGCGGAGCTGAGAGTGGGCAGGTCAACCCTGGCCGAATGCAGGGGGTTCGTTGGTTCTCCTGGAGGAAAAATACTATGGTTCCTGAAACCCGCTTCCATGCCAAACTTTATACAACTGAACATTGCCAAAGACACAACTGAAATGTTGGACTGTTCCAATCACGTGGTTAGCAGCTTCGTGTACACCCCTGTCATGGCTGCAAATGGATCCGTCCTAAAATGTGTGTCGTCCAATGAAAACTATCCTCACATATCAGGAGAAGACAACAGCGACAGCACACAACTGCTGCTTCTGACGGGTACGTAGTTCGCACGATGTGACAATGAAAACATTGTTCATTGTGTGTTAAACCCACCTCAGTAACTCAAATCACCAATACGTCTTTAGTGGGCATTTAGAAATTGGACAACTTTTTTCTTGTTTGTAACGACGTTTTAGGCGTTTACGTCCTACCCCTTCATCAGATGAAGGGACAAGGGGTAGCCGTGAAGCGTCGTTATTAACAAGACTGCTTTGCCCTTCATCATATGAAGGGACGAGAGGTAGCCGTGAAACGTCGTTATTAACAAGACTTCTTGGCCCTTCATCAGATAAAGGGGCAAGTGGTAGCCGTGAAACGTCGTTATTAACAAGACTTCTTGGCCCTTCATCAGATGAAGGGATAAGAGGTAGCCGTGAAGCGTCGTTATTAACAAGACTTCTTGGCCCTTCATCAGATAAAGGGACGAGAGGTAGCCGTGAAACGTCGTTATAAACAAGCCTTCTTGGCCCTTTATCAGATAAAGGGGCGAGAGGTAGCCGTGAAACGTCGTTATTAACAAGACTTCTGGGCCCTTCATCAGATAAAGGGACGAGAAGTAGCCGTGAAACTTCGTTATTAACAAGACTTCTTGGCCCTTCATCAGATAAAGGGACAAGAGGTAGCCGTGAAACGTCGTTTTTAACAAGACTTCTTGGCCCTTCATCAGATGAAGGGACGAGAGGTAGCCGTATCTGCCTTACTCCGCCCTACATGGTGATCACTCCTATGCACACTTCCGTTGATCGCAAAGCATTTACTTGATCGCAGCTGAGCCCCGATGTCAGTCAATGAGCTCGTCTTATGGCGCAGTCAGCAACGTCTGTATTACAGTGGAGTATTAGATGTATAATGTTGGACAGGGAAACCCTATTCCTTTGTACTTTATATCGATTGTAGTGTGATCATGGCCCATGATATGTCTTGTATCCGATTCAATGGGTATGGTTTTACGCCGCTTTTAGCAATATTCAAGCAACATCAAGGCGGGGGACACCAGAAATGGGCACATTGTACCCATGCGTGGAATCAAACACGGGCCTTCGACGTGACGAGCGAACGCTTTTACCACTAGGCTAACCCGCCTCCCGTGCCCCGGTCAAATGAGATAAATTAAATGAAAGATTTTGATAAATAGGTTAGAGATGATGACGTCATGGCCCGAACGAAGCTATGGTGCAAGGTAACTGTCGTAATAGAATGGAAATGTTCTACACTTGAAAATCGATGATCCAAGACACCGCATATTCATATCAGGGGTCTGTAAATAATCGAGTTTGGTCCAGAAAATCCATTGATTGACGTCATGAGCATAGATCTACTCAGTTGGGATACAGTGACATGCATCAACCGAGTCGGACCACCCGATCCCGTTAGTCGCCTCTTACGACCAGCTGGGGTGCTGAAGCTCAATTCCGACACGGATCGACCCGTGTCTATCCATTAAGTCGCCTCTTACCCTTGTGACCAGGGGGCACGGGTGGCCCAGTCGTCTAAGGCGCCGCGATTCGCTGTGCAGAGTTGCGTCCCTTGGACACGCCAGAAACCTATGATTGTGGGTTCGAATCCCGGTTCGCCCTGATTATGTTTCTAGGTTTGTCAGCACCATACCCGTGCTCGTGGGTTTTACCGAAGTGGTAAACGTCTGAGACCTGCATCACTTCAGGCTTTCCTCCCACATTAAGCTGACACGCCGTGATATAACTGGAATACTGTTAAAAGCGGCGTTAAACCCAACTCACTCACTCACTCACCCTTGTGACCAATAGTAAATAATGGAATCGAGCTACAAGTCAACTTACCTTACGCGTCTTACGACCAGCATTAGTTGCTGGGGACGAGTTCCAACCACGGGGTATTCGTAAATGGCAAAGGCAACACCATGAATCACATAACAGATGTCCTTTACATACCGCTCCAGACAACACTGTATTTAACATATGTATATTGATACAACTGTGGTTGGTTGGTTTGCTGTCTAACGCCGCACTCAGCAATATTGCAGCTATATCACGGCGGTCTGTAAATAATCGAGTCTGGACCAGACAATCCAGTGATTGATATCATGAACATCGATCCACGCAATTGGGATCGATGACATGCATCAACAAGTCGTCTGACCACCCGATCCCGTTAATCGCCTTTTATGACAAGCATAGTCGCCTTTTACGACAAGCATGGGTTGCTGAAGACCTATTCTACCCCGGATCTTCCCGGGTCGTTGCCTCGAGGGAACTCCGAGTTGTTGGAACCGTTGGTTAGGTTTGGTGACTTGCGTGTCGTGTGGACTCGATTATTTTTGGTGAAAGGATGATTGCTTGGGGACTTGTTATTTATTACAAGGGTGGGGCGGTGGGATTCTCTCGTGAGACACCTCCCTATGATAAATGATCAGTCCCTTAATAATGTTCAATTTCATACTTTTCAATCAAACCTTAACCAATACAGACGTCACCGACTGTTGATAATCACTTGTGCCGTTGTTTCAGGTACGGAATGCAGAGGTGAAGCAGATAACAGTAAAATCAGCCACCCGTACACCTGTAACAAGTACATACAGTGTTCTGGATCAACACAGGCTGTAAACACCTGTCCCGAGGGTGTATGTTTCGATTCAGTCACACAAACCTGTTTAGATGGGCCCTGAAGATAAACCGACCAACATTTGCTTTATTATTTTGTGGATGTCAAAAACCTGATGGCGGAATGTCAAGGTCACAAGTTCCCCGGATGACAACAGATCACCACGATAGGGATTGGTTATAGCAACTGTGCCCCGTTCCTGGAAGCGACCTTAGTGCCATGACTATCTCAAGTCAGTGTTAAAGTTAGGGCGTTACGACCGTCTACGAACTAAGACAGTCTCGGAGAAGCTGCATATTGGGTTGCCCAATTTTATTTATTTTATATTATTTATAAAACTGTATTTCTATGTGTTTTTATTTTATCAAAACTGTTTATAAAATCATGGCAAGCGCCAATGAACACTGTATCATAAATTTATTATTATTATCATTATTATTATTACTATTATTATTACAATGAAAAATGCAGTAAAAAGGATTTTGGGTGATCCTGGCCCAGTCATACTGGTAAGGCTCATCATCAGCTCAGGGCCCTTGCCCCCTCTACACGCAGCCCAGACAGCGAATGGGACTTCTCCCAGGAAGCGCGGTCTAGTCAAACCCACCCAGAACGTTTCGGAGAATGCGGAGACTCCCCAACACTTTACCCAGACATTACCCAGATTGTCAGAAGGGCTGTATCCCTGGTAGCAAACCCGGGCACTCTCCCAGTGTCAGTCAACAGATTGGGAGGTATCAAAACCTAAGGCACCGAGAACAATGGGGAGTCGGACAACTTGGTACTTGAGATACAAGCGTGACATATCGAAATCGAGGTCCGCATATTTGCCATGTTTTTCCTGAATCTTGTCAATCACATCAGTGTCAAAAGGGACAGAAAATTCAATAATTTAAATGATTCCATTGGATTTATAAAGAAAGGACGAGATCAGGTTTGTTGGCCTGGATACGTCTGAGGCTGTATAAGGGCCTGTTCCAAAGAATTTTGTATTAATCATTTACCATGACGCCCTCTACATATTCTCGGTCGTATCATGGATGGACCTGTGTGTCAAAACCACAAGCATGGCGAAGACGTTGATAAAATGATCGAGCCACAACATCATTTCGCTTAAGGTACTGTGTTTGTGCCAAAGTTGGGCATCCACTGAATGTGTGTTGGACAGTCTAATTACATTCATTACATAATCTACATTTCATATTTACATTTTGATGCAAAATCCCACATTCACGGTTTCGAGTGGGAAGTGACTGGTCCTGAGCAGCAAACAGAAAGCCATCACACCTCACACCTACAGCCCAAACCTTACATCTCGCACCTCACACCTCACACCCATAACCCAAACCTTACATCTCGCACCTCACACCAACAACCCACAACCCACACCTCACACCCACAACCCACAACCCACAACCCAAACCTTACATCTCGCACCTCACACCTCACACCTCACACCTACAACCCACAACCCACAACCCACAACCCACAACCCAAACCTTACATCTCGCACCTCACACCTCACACCTACAACCCAAGCCTTACATCCCGCACCTCACACCAACAACCCACAACCCACAACCCACAACCCACAACCCAAACCTTACATCTCGCACCTCACACCTCACACCTACAACCCAAACCTTACATCTCGCACCTCACACCAACAACCCACAACCCACAACCCACAACCCAAACCTTACATCTCGCACCTCACATCTCACACCTACAACCCAAGCCTTACATCTCGCACCTCACACCTCACACCCATAACCCAAACCTTACATCTCGCACCCTCACACCAACAACCCACAACCCACACCTCACACCCACAACCCACAACCCACAACCCACAACCCAAACCTTACACCTCACACCCACAACCCACAACCCACAACCCAAACCTTATATCTCGCACCTCACACCTCACACCCACAACCCAAACCTTACATCTCGCACCTGACACCTCACACCCACAACCCAAACCTTACATCTCGCACCTCACACCTCACACCGACAACCCAAACCTTACATCTCACACCTCACACCTCACACCCACAACCCACAACCCAAACCTTACACCTCACACCTCACACCTCACACCTCACACCCACAACCCAAACCTTACATCTCACACCTCACACCTCACACCCACAACCCAAACCTTACATCTCGCACCTCGCACCTCACACATCACACCCACAACCAAAACCTTACATCTCGCACCTCACACTTCACACCGACAACCCAAACCTTACATCTCACACCTCACACCTCACACCGACAACCCAAACCTTACATCTCACACCTCACACCTCACACCCACAACCCAAACCTTACATCTCGCACCTCACACCTCACACCGACAACCCAAACCTTACATCTCGCACCTCACACCTCACACCGACAACCCAAACCTTACATCTCGCACCTCACACCTCACACCTACAACCCAAACCTTACATCTCGCACCTCACACCTCACACCGACAACCCAAACCTTACATCTCGCACCCTCACACCTCACACCTACAACCCAAACCTTACATCTCGCACCTCACACCTCACACCTCACACCCATAACCCACAACCCACAACCCACAACCCACAACCCACAACCCACAACCCAAACCTTACAGCTCGCACCTCACACCCACAACCCACAACCCACAACCCACAACCCAAACCTTACATCTCGCACCTTCTCAACCACAACCCACAACCCACAACCCAAATCTTACATCTCGCACCTCACACCTCACACCTACAGCCCAAACCTTACATCTCACACCTCACACCTCACACTCATAACCCAAACCTTACATCTCGCACCTCACACCTCACACTCATAACCCACAACCCAAACCTTACATCTCGCACCTCACACCTCACACCGACAACCCAAACCTTACATCTCACACCTCACACCTCACACCCACAACCCAAACCTTACACCTCGCACCTCGCACCTCGCACCTCGCACATCACACCTCACACCTACAGCCCAAACCTTACATCTCGCACCTCACACCTCACACCGACAACCCAAACCTTACATCTCACACCTCACACCTCACACCCACAACCCAAACCTTACACCTCGCACCTCGCACCTCACACCTCACACCTACAGCCCAAACCTTACATCTCGCACCTCACACCTAACACCCACAACCCACAACCCAAACCTTACATCTCGCACCTCACACCAACAACCCACAACCCACAACCCACAACCCAAACCTTACATCTCGCACCTCACACCTCACACCCACAACCCACAACCCAAACCTTACATCTCGCACCTCACACCTCACACCTACAACCCAAACCTTACATCTCGCACCCTCACACCTCATACCTACAACCCAAACCTTACATCTCGCACCTCACACCTCACACCCATAACCCACAACCCACAACCCACAACCCAAACCTTACATCTCGCACCTCACAACCACAACCCACAACCCACAACCCAAATCTTACATCTCGCACCTCACACCTCACACCTACAGCCCAAACCTTACATCTCGCACCTCACACATCACACCCACAACCCAAACCTTACATCTCGCACCTCACACCAACAACCCACAACCCACAACCCACAACCCACAACCCACAACCCAAACCTTACATCTCGCACCTCACACCTCACACCTACAACCCAAACCTTACATCTCGCACCTCACACATCACACCCACAACCCAAACCTTACATCTCGCACCTCACACCAACAACCCACAACCCACAACCCACAACCCAAACCTTACATCTCGCACCTCACACCCACAACCCACAACGCACAACCCACAACCCACAACCCAAACCTTACATATCGCACCTCACAACCACAACCCACAACCCACAACCCAAATCTTACATCTCGCACCTCACACCTCACACCTACAACCCAAACCTTACATCTCGCACCCTCACACCTCACACCCATAACCCAAACCTTACATCTCGCACCTCACACCTCACACCCATAACCCAAACCTTACATCTCGCACCTCACACCAACAACCCACAACCCACACCTCACACCCACAACCCACAACCCACAACCCAAACCTTACATCTCGCACCTCACACCTCACACCAACAACCCACAACCCACACCTCACACCCACAACCCAAACCTTACATCTCGCACCTCACACCTCACACCTCACACCTACAACCCAAACCTTACATCTCGCACCTCACACCTCACACCTCACACCCATAACCCAAACCTTACATCTCGCACCTCACACCCACAACCCACAACCCAAACCTTACACCTCGCACCTCACACCTCACACCTACAACCCAAACCTTACATCTCGCACCTCACACCTCACACCCATAACCCAAACCTTACATCTCGCACCTCACACCTCACACCTACAGCCCAAACCTTACATCTCGCACCTCACACCTCACACCTCACACCTACAGCCCAAACCTTACATCTCGCACCTCACCCCAACAACCCACAACCCAAACCTTCATCTCGCACCTCACACCTCACACCTACAGCCCAAACCTTACATCTCGCACCTCACACCAACAACCCACAACCCAAACCTTACATCTCGCACCTCACACCAACAACCCACAACCCACAACCCACAACCCACAACCCAAACCTTACATCTCGCACCTCACACCTCACACCTCACACCTCACACCTACAACCCAAACCTTACATCTCGCACCTCACACCTCACACCTCACACCTACAACCCAAACCTTACATCTCGCACCTCAACCCTCACACCGACAACCCAAACCTTACATCTCGCACCCTCACACCTCACACCCACAACCCAAACCTTACATCTCACACCTCACACCTACAACCCAAACCTTACATCTCGCACCTCACACCTCACACCTCACACCTCACACCTACAACCCAAACCTTACATCTCGCACCTCACACCTCACACCTCACACCTACAACCCAAACCTTACATCTCGCACCTCACACCTCACACCGACAACCCAAACCTTACATCTCGCACCTCACACCTCACACCCACAACCCAAACCTTACATCTCGCACCTCGCACCTCACACATCACACCCACAACCAAAACCTTACATCTCGCACCTCACACTTCACACCGACAACCCAAACCTTACATCTCACACCTCACACCTCACACCGACAACCCAAACCTTACATCTCACACCTCACACCTCACACCCACAACCCAAACCTTACATCTCGCACCTCACACCTCACACCGACAACCCAAACCTTACATCTCGCACCTCACACCTCACACCGACAACCCAAACCTTACATCTCGCACCTCACACCTCACACCTACAACCCAAACCTTACATCTCGCACCTCACACCTCACACCGACAACCCAAACCTTACATCTCGCACCCTCACACCTCACACCTACAACCCAAACCTTACATCTCGCACCTCACACCTCACACCTCACACCCATAACCCACAACCCACAACCCACAACCCACAACCCACAACCCACAACCCACAACCCAAACCTTACAGCTCGCACCTCACACCCACAACCCACAACCCACAACCCACAACCCAAACCTTACATCTCGCACCTCACAACCACAACCCACAACCCAAATCTTACATCTCGCACCTCACACCTCACACCTACAGCCCAAACCTTACATCTCACACCTCACACCTCACACTCATAACCCAAACCTTACATCTCGCACCTCACACCTCACACTCATAACCCACAACCCAAACCTTACATCTCGCACCTCACACCTCACACCGACAACCCAAACCTTACATCTCACACCTCACACCTCACACCCACAACCCAAACCTTACACCTCGCACCTCGCACCTCGCACCTCGCACCTCGCACCTCACACCTCACACCTACAGCCCAAACCTTACATCTCGCACCTCACACCTCACACCGACAATCCAAACCTTACATCTCACACCTCACACCTCACACCCACAACCCAAACCTTACACCTCGCACCTCGCACCTCACACCTCACACCTACAGCCCAAACCTTACATCTCGCACCTCACACCTAACACCCACAACCCACAACCCAAACCTTACATCTCGCACCTCACACCAACAACCCACAACCCACAACCCACAACCCACAACCCAAACCTTACATCTCGCACCTCACACCTCACACCCACAACCCACAACCCAAACCTTACATCTCGCACCTCACACCTCACACCTACAACCCAAACCTTACATCTCGCACCCTCACACCTCACACCTACAACCCAAACCTTACATCTCGCACCTCACACCTCACACCCATAACCCACAACCCACAACCCACAACCAACAACCCAAACCTTACATCTCGCACCTCACACCCACAACCCACAACCCACAACCCACAACCCAAACCTTACATCTCGCACCTCACAACCACAACCCACAACCCACAACCCAAATCTTACATCTCGCACCTCACACCTCACACCTACAGCCCAAACCTTACATCTCGCACCTCACACATCACACCCACAACCCAAACCTTACATCTCGCACCTAACACCAACAACCCACAACCCACAACCCACAACCCACAACCCAAACCTTACATCTCGCACCTCACACCTCACACCTACAGCCCAAACCTTACATCTCGCACCTCACACATCACACCCACAACCCAAACCTTACATCTCGCACCTCACACCAACAACCCACAACCCACAACCCACAACCCAAACCTTACATCTCGCACCTCACACCCACAACCCACAACGCACAACCCACAACCCACAACCCAAACCTTACATATCGCACCTCACAACCACAACCCACAACCCACAACCCAAATCTTACATCTCGCACCTCACACCTCACACCCATAACCCAAACCTTACATCTCGCACCTCACACCTCACACCCATAACCCAAACCTTACATCTCGCACCTCACACCAACAACCCACAACCCACAACCCACACCCACAACCCACAACCCACAACCCAAACCTTACATCTCGCACCTCACACCTCACACCAACAACCCACAACCCACACCTCACACCCACAACCCAAACCTTACATCTCGCACCTCACACCTCACACCTCACACCTACAACCCAAACCTTACATCTCGCACCTCACACCTCACACCCATAACCCAAACCTTACATCTCGCACCTCACACCCACAACCCACAACCCAAACCTTACACCTCGCACCTCACACCTCACACCTACAACCCAAACCTTACATCTCGCACCTCACACCTCACACCCATAACCCAAACCTTACATCTCGCACCTCACACCTCACACCTACAGCCCAAACCTTACATCTCGCACCTCACACCTCACACCTACAGCCCAAACCTTACATCTCGCACCTCACCCCAACAACCCACAACCCAAACCTTCATCTCGCACCTCACACCTCACACCTCACACCTACAGCCCAAACCTTACATCTCGCACCTCACCCCAACAACCCACAACCCAAACCTTACATCTCGCACCTCACACCAACAACCCACAACCCAAACCTTACATCTCGCACCTCACACCAACAACCCACAACCCACAACCCACAACCCACAACCCACAACCCAAACCTTACATCTCGCACCTCACACCTCACACCTCACACCTACAACCCAAACCTTACATCTCGCACCTCACACCTCACACCTCACACCTCCAACCCAAACCTTACATCTCGCACCTCACACCTCACACCTCACACCTACAACCCAAACCTTACATCTCGCACCTCACACCTCACACCGACAACCCAAACCTTACATCTCGCACCTCACACCTCACACCTCACACCTCACACCTACAACCCAAACCTTACATCTCGCACCTCACACCTCACACCTCACACCTCACACCTACAACCCAAACCTTACATCTCGCACCTCACACCTCACACCTCACACCTCACACCTACAACCCAAACCTTACATCTCGCACCTCACACCTCACACCGACAACCCAAACCTTACATCTCGCACCTCACACCTCACACCGACAACCCAAACCTTACATCTCGCACCCTCACACCTCACACCACAACCCAAACCTTACATCTCGCACCTCATGAACACACCTCACACGTACAACCCAAACCTTACATCTCGCACCTCACACCTCACACCTACAACCCAAACCTTACATCTCGCACCTCACACCTCACACCTCACACCTACAACCCAAACCTTACATCTCGCACCTCACACCTCACACCGACAACCCAAACCTTACATCTCGCACCTCACACCTCACACCGACAACCCAAACCTTACATCTCGCACCTCACACCTCACACCTACAACCCAAACCTTACATCTCGCACCTCACACCTCACACCCCAAAGGGTGTCATGATAGTTCTTTGCAACAAGTTGTTGCTCGTTCGTTTTCTTGAAAGCATCAATAGAAATAAAACAATGAATATATCACACCACAAATAACATTTAGAGTAGAGCGACGTCATTGTACGTTTTTGCTGTCACTAACACAAACATCACAAGACACAAAATACAAATGGCGACGACGTCGCGACTTGAGGGAACACAAGTTCCGCCTCTACATTCGCTGATAGAAGTCATGATCTCCAGATGCCGTCAAATTGTATGTCACTGCGCATGTCACCAACTGACATGTATTCAAGATGTCTGCCTTTAGCGCCATATTGAAACCCATACAGCTTTCACTCGAACTGCACTGAACGCCACAAGCAATAGATGACTCTGCATAGGTTGTCATGGCGGCTGGACAGCCACTGATCCGATGGGATTGTCGGTGGTAAAGATTCGTCCTGATTTTCCTGGGAGCTGGAAAAAATGTACAAAAGTCAACAATATTAGGATTTTTTACCTGAAAGTGATATCTTCAACATCAAAAATTTACGATCATAGTAAGTAAAACTGACTGCCAAAAGAATCTTTACCACTTAAAAAAATTAAATTGAAAAAATTGAAAAACACAAGTTCAAACATAATCAATGCAAAACACATCGCCCAAACACAACAATGCGCTGTGCAGAAAGTGATGCACGTCCATGGCACGTTTTGTTTTTTAGAGTAAATGCGAAGAAGGGAAAACATGTGCCGCTTGGGCAGGCGAAAACTACACGTAAAATAATGGTACTACTATATAAATGATACGGCATGTTAGACACTCACACTGATGAAAGAAAAAGAACCAGAGACTTGCCACGACTCACACCCGAACAACGCGAGCGGGGCCTGGGTATGATACAGATGGGAGTCACACATGCCAACGTTAAACCTTTGGTAGGGGGCGGTGGTTCAAGCGTTCGCTCGTCACGCCGAAGACTCGGGTTCGATTCCCGACATGGGTACAATGTGTGAAGCCGATTTCTGGTGTCCCCCGCCGTGATATTGCCGGAATATTGCTAAAAGCGGCGTAAAACCAAACTCACTCACTACGCCTTTGGCTGCTCCCGCGTTGTTGTATCTGACCTGATGCAACGCTGCAGACAGACCGGGCAGACACCAGACAGGCCAAGAACAGGCAGACCCAGGGTAGCTACGAACCAATGAAGGCCGGTATTTGCGTATGTTATGGCGTGGGAAAGCATGTGTGGGCAGCAGAGAACACCAATGGTCATCGTTAACGGAAATGTGACAGCTCGGCGTTACACGGGTGACATTCTTCGTGGAATTTCTACGGCAGCTGCCATGTGGCGTCCTTTATCACCATGACAACGTCAGACCCCGTGCAGATCGAATTGTTAGAATGCACGCTCCACAGGCATGCCCCCAACAGAACACCCCAGGGATGTCATGGATCGTCGTGTTCGACAGCGACCACATCACCCAGCCAACTGACAAGAACTGATCCAGGTCCTCCACAAAGAATGGTGACGTATCCTACGTGACGTCAACAGACGAGTGACCTTTTCTGTGCGCCGGAGATTGTTTGCGCGTCTTGAAGCAGGGGTCGTCATACACATTATTAGTCATTGAACTTTAAGAGCGATTTTAGAAGTGTGTACCCTTTGCCAATTACGTTGAAAGCTTGATTTGCTATGGCTCGGTGACCTGGTTGATTGCATGCAATCGTACCCAGACGACATAGATCGTTGCTCATGATATCAACCACTGATTTGCCTGGTCCAGACTGCATTTATTTGCACGTCGCCGCCATATACAGGTGTAGATCGAGTGAGTGGGTGAGTATGGTTTTACGCCGCTTTTAGCAATATTCCAGCAATATCACGGCGGGGGACACCAGAAATGGGCTTCACACATTGTACCCATGTCGGGAATCGAACCCGGGTCATCGGTGTGACGAGCGAACACTTGAACCAGTTGACTACCCGACCGCCCCAGTTGTAGATCGAATATTGCTGAGTGAAGCGTCAGGGAGCTGGACCGGGTGATACATTTAGTCGCCTGGTACGACATGCACAGATTGCTGAGGATAACGTCTAGGAGCTGGACCAGCTGATACAGTTAGTCGCCTCGTACGACATGCACAGATTGCTGAGGATAACGTCTGGGAGCTGGACCAGCTGATACAGTTAGTCGCCTCGTACGACATGCACAGATTGCTGAGGATAAACTTTAACACAGAATCCAGAATTAATTAAAAGGAGGATATATTCTTTTCTGCTTCCTCCTTATACATCTTAACATTATACTTTACTATTGTCATTATTATCATGCAGATGAAATTAAAAAATGCAGCAAAGAGGGTTTGGGTGATCCTGGCATAGTCAGGCTGGTTGTAAATGTAAATTCCATCCAGACCTTTCGGAGAATGTGAAGACCCCCGAACACTGCAGCCCTCTGCATTAACCCAGATTGTCAGAAGGGCTGTATTCCTGGTAGCAAACCCGGCTACTCTCCCAATGTCAGTCAACAGATTGGGAGGTACCAAACCTAAGGCACCGAGAACAATGGGGAGACGGACAACTTGGTACTTTGGATGCAAGCGTGACATTTTGAAAGCGAGGTTCACATATTTGCCATGTTTCTCCCCAATCTTGTCAATCACATTGGTGTCAAAAGGGACAGAAAATTCAATAATATAAATGATTTCATTAAAAAAAATTGGAAAAGATTAGGTTTGCTGGCCTGGATATTATCATTAGTATTATTATTGGGATTAGGAGTCATCATCATCATCAATATATAGTAACGTCCACATTCTTACCCTGCGAGGTACCATCGATACCCGTGTTAGAAGATCGGTCAGAGGGATCGCCTACAAGTACAATAATCAGTTACACATTTCAGTTAGACCTTAAGTTTCGTTCAGGAACCAAACCTCAACAGCAGACGTATTTATTGATATTAAAATTAAGCTCAACGAACACTTGGCGATTATGAATATTTATTAGAAACTTAGTGACCCTTAACGACCCAAAAGTTAACACTCTTACAACGCATCGGGTCTTTGTTCAGATTATACAGCGAAGCGTTGAAAACCCACCTATATACTCTGCGTTTACACTACTGGCCGCATGAATAGAGCTACGCTACACACCTTCAAAACATTTACTCACCTCTTGTGGTGAATATGGCCCCGTCTTCACACCATCCATCAATTTGCAATTTACAAAATATCTTGGACAGGTTTATACCCCCTTGTTCCCAAACTCATTACCTCCGAATACAGCTAACCCTTTTATACTATTCTTCCACTGGTGAGATAAAATATAGAGGTTTACATGGGAAAATGATCTAACCAGTGGCGGGTATGGGCCACCGTAGAATAGCGATTGGTGGATAACGAATAGTAAAAGACGAGCCATACATCAGAAGGATTTAGCAGCTGACAAAAATGAAGTTTTGACGTACATGTGATCTGTGCAAGTCTCGGAACCAGCTTCCCCAAGTTGTTGTAACTCTCAGAGTAGAACACGTGGTCGTGTGTCGAGTTACTTGCAAAACGATTCAACTGTTGAACATCTGCATTCTTCACTCCAAGACAAAACCATTCCACTTTCTGTTCCACTTTCATATCGTCACGGGTCGAGAGAGATTCCTCAATTTCATTCAGTCGATCACCGGCGATAAGTAGAGCAACATTAGCCGCATCAGACCGATCTCCATGTCCAAAAATATAAAGTTGTGCCGTTCTAATTGCCTGTAATGCAGATATCGGTGGCTTTTCCGATCGATGCTTCAAACTCAAAATGGCATTCTTCAGTTCTGACTTGTCACTCGGTAAATTCATCATTACAGTTTGATATGTGATAATACTAACCTTGACGTTATCATCCGAATTGATAGTGAATGTATCGACAATATCAACCAGCATCTGTTTCAGGATGGCAAACTCAGATATGTTCATGCTTTGAGAACGGTGGACAAGGAAGAGAACATCCTTCTTCTGAGTCCCACAATCTGCAATTGGAAACTTCGTACAAACGATCGATCTTCGGTGCACGAACGGCTTGCATTCACTACGTTTCTGACCCGTGAAGATCCTGGCTAAAATAGGTCTTTAGCAACCCATGCTTGCCGTAAAAGGAGATTATACGCAGTGTTTGTTGTTTTACGCCGCACTCAGCAATATTACAGCTATATTACGGCGGTCTGTAAAAAATCGAGTCTGGACCAGATAATCCAGTGTTTGATATCATGCGCAATCGAGCATCGATCCCCGAAATTGAGATACGATGACATGCATCAACAAAGTCAGCGAACCTGACCACTCGATCACGTTAGTGGGGCAAGCATAGTCGCCGTTTACGGCAAGTATGGGTTCCTGAGAACTATTCTAACCCGGATCTTCACGCGTATCAGGTATTTTGTGAACTACTAGACCATAGCAAGGATAAGATTTATGGATGAACAACTTCTTTATTACAATTAGGAGCGACGTTTCGGTGTAGGTTCTAACACCGTTATTGAGCACCGAAACGTCGCTCCTAATTGTTATAAAGAAGTTGTTCATCAATAAATCTAAAAGAAGTTACTAGATCATACATGACAAATAATTGTTACCAAACAGAAATTAACCAGTCCCCGAATCGACTACCCATGAGTCCAATAGACCTTTCAGAAAACATTATTTAAAAAACAGTTAACTACGGTTATAACGAACTCGCTTATAACGAACTTCCGGATATAACGAACTAATCTTTTTAGTCCAGACTGTTTACTGTAGTTATGCTGTATATATGCTTATAACGAACTACGGTTATAACGAACTAAAATTAGTAGTCCCTTTGAGTTCGTTACAACCGTACTTTACTGTAGATCAATGCGGCTTTGCCGGTGTGGAATGACGTCAGTACACTTACACCACGAGTGGGAGACATGCTGTGCTAAATATGAGAGAGATAAAGATGGTGACTTAGCTTAAAAAAACAAAGCTTTGCTGGCGAATGGGTTATTACATTACCCTGGATATTCGAGGGTATAAAAAATCGTACCGGAGGTCTAGTCACATATTCGTGGAAAAGGAATTTTTATATCGTTATGAATATTTAAAATAGCCGTGATAGGCTTGTATAGATTTGACAGTTTTCACAGGATCGACAGTTTGTTTGTATTAGACCAGTCGGTACATACTGTACACGTCAACACAGTCGAGATAAAAAATAACAATGTCCTTGAGGTTCTAAACTAGACGGATAAACAAATTGGGATATCACTAGCCTGTACCGTTCATGTTACAGATTCTTTATAGTTTTCAAATTGATTGCAAATTCGAAATATAAATTGTTTTTTTAATTGTCCTGATATAACTGCCATATCACGACAAGGGTTGGTTGGATGGTTGGTTTGTTGTTTTACGCCGCACTCAGCAATATTCCAGCTATATGACGGGGGTCTGTATATAATCGAGTCTGCACCAGACAATCCAGTGATTGACTCAACGAGCATCGATCCACACAATTAGGATCGATGACATGCATCAACCAAGTCAGCGAGCCTGACCACCCGATCCCGTTAGTCGCCTTTTACGACAAGCATAGTCGCCTTTTACAGCAAGCATTGGTTACTGGGGGGATTTAGATAAAGTGTTTCACACATTAATATGATGTGGTGGTATCAGCATCGCTGTCGGGTACGATGGCGTGACATTCAATCAACAACGTTTCTGGAGTGTTTTTATTATTGTTATTATTATTATTATTATTATTATTATTATTATTATTTAACGCCACTCAAGCAATATTACAGCTATATGACGGCGGTCTGTAAATAATCGAGTCTAGACCAGACAATCCAGTGATTGATATCCTAAGCATCGACCCACGCAATTGGGATACGATGACATGCATCAACCAAGTCAGCGAGCCTGACCACTCGATCCCTTAAGTCGCCTCTTACGGCAAGCATGGGTCGCTGAAGAACAATTCTACCCCGGATCGTCACAGGTCATCAATACCGTCATCTAGTCTGACCACCCTATCCACCGAGTCGCCTCTTACAACAAGCGTGGGTTACTGGCGAGTAATGATATTTTCATCCCAAATCCCCAGGGTGTCTAAATTGAAAATTTATATTACCTGTGGCCGCCCTCGTGATCACCGTTCTGCCGGGGATGGAGCTGCTAAGTAGAAAAAGTTAAGAGTCTGAATATCATGAACATTAAAGCATCGATGGCAGTGCCTGAGTGACTTTGGGCAATATAATATTAACAGTTATATCACGGCGTGTCACCTTTGTGTTGGGGGAAAACCTGAAGTGATGCAGGTCTCCGACGTTTACCGCATGGGTGAAGGTGAAGATGAAATGGGGTTTAACGTCGCGTCCAAGATGATTGCATTTATATAGCGACGCGCATGCAAGTGTGTGTGTGTGTGTGTTCGGTTGATAGAACTTGTCTGGAATAATGCCTATTTTACAGTGCAAGCCTACTGAGATACCATGCCGCAGTTTAACATGAATACCCCACTCAGACACAGTATACTGACTCCGAGCCGACCAGTCCTTGTTTTAGCCCCTTAATGTCGAGTGCAAGACAGATACAACAGATAACATCTTGTAAGGTCTTTCAGTATGACGCGGCCGGGGATCGAACCCCGGACCTTCCGCTCTCCGGGCGGACGCTCTACCACTAGAGCACTTGTTTATAGCACTTGAGAGGTGAAATTATCATTTTGTGAAGTCTAAATGATATCAGTTTTCATTTTGAGAAGTCTTTTGGTATGACGTGGCCGGGGATCCAAACCCGGACCTTTGGCTCTACGGGCGGACGCTTTACCACTAGACCACGGAGGCGGTCTACCACAGGGTTTAAACCACGAGCACGGGTATGTGAAACCCACGATCGGTGTTGCATGCATTAGGGACGCAACTCCGCATAGTGTCTTGCGGCGCCTTAGGCGACTGGGCCATGCGTGTGACCACCCCCTCTCCATCCCTCCTCTTTCCCCCAACATTGGTCATACCAAAACGATAGACTGTGAGGACCGCTTTGACATCTGTATGATAAAAACCCTGACTATACAAGTGTTATTTTGTCATATTTCCCCTTGCTATAAATATAAATATTTTGAATTCATATATTTTGATATAATTATATATAAATTCATTTATTTTGATATAAATATATATATAAATTTATTTATTTGATGGATATATACTGAACAAAATAAAAAACTTCACAATCCTAAAAATTTAACATTTTGACCAGTTATCATTATGGCCCTTATGATAAATTTAAACAGTAATGGCCACGTATTGTCTTCAGATAACACCCATTTTTGTGCAGGTGAATCCATCAAAATCATGTGCACAGCACTATAGTGGCAAAAGAGGTTTTTCACGTGCAACTGGTCACGTGGCCATAATACCGCACGTGTTTCCAGCCACACTTGTTAGCAGTCATTAACACAAAAAGAAAAACACAAGAAAACAAAAGTCTTTACGGCCATTTGACATGCCACGTCTTTCAAATGTGCAACGTGAACGTGCCACCGGCATGTTGCAGACGGGAACGTCCGTAGCTGAAGTCGCAAGCACGATGGGTTGTAGTCGACGGACTGTTAATGATTTACAGACGCGTCTACAGCGAACGGGTACCACCGCTGATCGCCCTCGGCCAGGTCGACCACGTGTGACGTCACATGCAGAGGATCGTCAGATTGTCTTACGCCACCTCCGTAACCGATTTTTGACGGCTACATCAACCAGAAATGAACTGTTTAGGGGTAGACTGAGTGCGCAAACTGTTCGAAACCGTCTGAGAACTGCTAATCTTCAAGCACGACGGCAATACTGCGGGCTGATTTTGACTCAATTACACAGACGTCAACGTCAATTGTGGGCACAGCGACACTTACGATGGACTCGGAAGAATTGGAATCAAGTCGTCCTCAGTGATGAATCCCGATTTAATCTTCGATTTGCTGATGGTAGGGCGAGGGTGTGGAGGCGCCGTCATGAACGTTACGCTCAGTGTTGTGTACAGGAAGTTGACAGATTTTGAGGCGGAAGTGTCATTGTGTTGGGTGCATTCTGTGGCAATGCACGTTCCAGGCTTCTCGTCATCCGTTACAACCTCAACGCTGCTGCTTACCGCGACCAGGTACTGGCACCAGAACTTCTGCCCTTTATGGCAGTACATGGACCAGGTTGGATCTTCCAACACGACAATGCCAGACCCCACACAGCAATTTTGACAAGGAATTGCGGGAGTCAACGTCATGGACTGGCCGTCAAGGTCTCCCGACCTCAATCCCATCGATCACGTCTTGGATGCTCTTGGCAGGAGTCTGCGCACTCTCCAGAACCAACCACAGAATTTGCAAGATCTTGGCACCATTTTGCAGCAACAATGGCGTCGTCAATCATGTGTTCACAAGCATCCATGCGGAGGCGTTGTGTGGCAGTTGTCAACGCACATGGTGGCTATACACGCTACTGAACTTGTGTGCCATCAGATTCTCGTGCTTGGGACTTATGATTTAAACTGTTGATGTTATTACCGAATACCGTAGGTGCTTGGAGCAAATTATGGTTACCACCGTTAATTAAAATCCTTCTTTGGACATTAATGATTAAAGATTACCTTCTCTGATACATTTGTCCGTTGTATATCATATATGGGATTACTTTTAAAAATGTGAAGTTTTTAATTTGACTCAGTATATGTATGTACTCTTCAAAATATGAAACGCAAAGCCAGATTTGTGTGAGGTAGGAACATAGGAAAAGCCCAAAGTGAAGGTCAGGTAACCATCATTAACGCGTATGTCCCTAGTTGGAATCGATAGCGGCCTGACATCTCTGACCATAGAAGAGACGAGTATGCGAATCACATCCTGGGGGAATGGTAGCCCAACTCGACCTGCAACGCATAAACCAACTGCTGCAACGTCTGGGGTTGCGGTCGAGCGTTGCCATTGGCTGCACTTGTGGAGGACGTGTGGTAGGAGAATTTCGTTGATGTATCGTTGAGCCGTTAGATTGCCCTGGATATGGACCAAACCTGTCCTGCCATGATGAGAGATATCCGCCCACATCATAACGCTACCCCCACCAATCCTGTCCACTTCCTGTACGCCTGTTGACCCGTGCTCTTCCATCCCCTTCACGGAGGAGAAATCTTCATTAGTCGCTGAACCAGACATCTCTCCATCGCAGAGGCCATACCCTGTGTTGAGTGAGTGAGTGAGTTTGGTTTTACGCCGCTTTTAGCAATATTCCAGCAATATCACGGCGGGGGACACCAGAAATGGGCTTCACGCATTGTACCCATGTCGGGATTCGAACCCGGGTCTTCGGCGTGACGAGCGAACGCTTTAACCACCTGGCTACCCGACCGCCCTCCCCCATCCCCCCCCCCCCCCCCCCCCCCCCCTCCCTGTGTTGACGACACCAATGCAATCGTAGCTGATGATGTTGTCGACTCAATATGACGCGTCAATCAGGACGTCTTGCTCGTAGACCTGTTGCTCTGAAACGGTTTCGTACTGTCTGGTCGGAGATTCTGCGGTTGAGGTGGATTTCGTCCTTTCGCGCAGTCAGATGTAGCAATCTTGGGCAGGGGTAGTTACTCTTGGTCGTCCCGACCTTGGCCGATCACGTGTTGACCATGCTGTTGAAACCGATCCCGTAGCCTTGTGATGGTGATAGGGGCTACATTGAAAACTCTGGCTACAGCTGATCGGGATTCCCCTGGCTGCAAGCGGCCTATGACGTTGTTTCTTTGCACTTTTGTTAATCTTGGCATGTTGTTGAACTGTTCGATTGACGCAGGTACCAGGCAATCAAAAAACCCTGCACTTTAATACCATTCATAGTGCTGCTGCACGCGCAGTACATGCAGCTCCATGGCCATTTTGTTAATGCACTGGGTGCGTTTTTCCGAATCGTACATGTTTCCCGACTAATGGTTTTCATGTCCTTGTTGTGATCATTTAGATCCGGGAAATTTGTCACTGACACTATAACACATTAAACCTCTACATTTTGCACCTCTTGTCTGCTAATCTTGCTTTTGTGGCCAAAAATATCCGTATTGCGTTTTGTCTTTTTAAGAGTAATAATTGTATATATATTATCAGAGACTTAGCGTTTGTCTGAGTATCGGCGAACAGTTGCAGAATGATAACGCAGATATCAAGTCGCACCTTTCTGTTGAGTCTGACATAATCCCCGAAATAAGTTATGTATAAGGTTAAATATAAATAATTCTTTTGCGGAACCCTCAAGTATCTAAAGTTCGGGGACTAAACAAATCTTATATATATATACTCTTCAAAAAAAGAAACTTGACACTGACTTTCAAAATGTAATATAATGCGATTGTTTCAAAATAGGACACAGAAACCATAATTGAAACACTGTTTGAAGTTCAATGTACACAATGTTCAAAACAATAATCGTGTCACCTAGACAGACACACGTACACGTCACAGGGGTACAGAAAATGTCAGTATCGGTTGTGTCCACCACGTGCATCAATCACCGCTTGACACCGACGACCCATAGATGCAATCAAGTTGTCAATAACACGCTGTTGGATGTGCTGCCATTCATGCTGAAGTGCATCAAGAAGCGCCGGAAGTGTTTGGGGCGGTGGATTCCTTCTGCGAACGCGTCGATCCAACTCGTCCCACATATGCTCAATCGGGGACAAATCTGGTGACCGAGCTGGCCAAGGTAATGTCTGGATGTTGTTGTGCTGTAAGAAGTCCTGACAAACACGTGCTGGAACTGTCCGCCGTGAACGTTGACGTGAGGAAGAACGTAAGGCTGTAGGATCAAGCCGCTTTAACGCACACCTGTCAATGCACCTGCCACATGCACGAGAGGCGTCCTACCACCGTGATGAATTCCGGCCCATACCATGACACTCCCGCCGCCAAATGGGACAACCTGCTGCACACAGTTGGGGGCGTAACATTCACCCCGACATCAGCACGTGTGAGTAGGAAACGGGACTCGTCAGTAAACAGTACATTTCTCCACCTTGCACGTGCCCGTCTAACCCTCTGTTGGCTCCAAAGCAGACGGTCCGCCGGATGACGTGGGGTCAATACATGACGTCGAACTGGTCTTCGCGCAAAAAGTCAAGCCTCCCTCAGTCTGTTGCGTACCGTTTGATCTGATATTCTGCGTACCCAAAGGGATCTGTGTGGTTGTAGGCGTGGCTGTGGTAGTGCGGTCTCGGAGGTGTCGCAGCCGGATGTATCGATCTTGTGCTTGGGTTGTTGGTGTTGTTGTATCGGGTCCACAGTGCGGAGATTGTCTGTCTGGATACGCCAAAGTGCCTTGCCACTTCTTGCTGAGTTGCTCCAGCTTGTAATCTCCCAATAGCGTTGTTCCGTTGAGCTGCATTCATGCCGTTATAAAGACTGTATGAACAGCCGTTGATGTGGTTTTTATACCCATTCATTAGGGGGGCCAGCATGCCTAAATGCAGGATCCTGTGCTGCACGTTTTTTACAGGCGGTTGCGTTTGGATGAAGCTGTAAAATTGATCCCCAAACGCTACGTTTATGTGCTTTGCATGTGTTTTTGCGATTTTATAGACACATCATATTTCTGTTTGACTTTGATGTTTGGCAAAAATTGGTTTTACATCTATGTCAAGTTTCATTTTTTGAAGTGTATAAATTAACAAGGGTGATTTAAATAGTATCACGCCATCACTGGTGTGGTGTTCATATTTGTTTTTGTTAAATTTACATACTGTGAGAAGCGATGGGCGGTCGGATAACACAGTTTGCAAAGCGTCCGAAGGCCGGAGTTCGATTCCCGACATGAGTACAACGTGTGAAGCTCCCGCCGTGATATTGCAGGAATATTGCTAAAAGCGGCGTAAAACCATACTCGATCACTCACTCACTCACTGTAAGACGCGAATGACTTGGTTATCCCAATTGCGAAGATCAATGCTCAATTAATTATGTCAACGTTTGACTTGATTATTTACAGACCGCCGTCATATAGCTGGGATATTGCTGAGTGCGACGTTAAACAACAAACAAACCTACTTCAGTAAGAGGGACTAGTACTATACTTCAAGTGATACACAAGATGGGACGGTCGGGTAGCCTAGTGGTTAAAGAGTTCGCTCGTCACGCCGAAGACCTGGGCTCGATTACCTTCATGTGTTCAATGTGTAAAGCCCATTTCTGATGTTACTTCTCCGTGATATTGCTGGAATATTGCTAAAAGCGGCGTAAATCGCTCACCTTGTAAGAGTACAGATGGAAATATAAACGTTTCTTAAAATTACTAGTCTTTCCGATTTAATTCGAATCGAAACATCTTTACAGATAAAATGTAATCATTTAAAAGCATATGAAGTTTTTTCTTATTGTGGACAATGTGTAATCAAAACAAGTATTTATACAAAGAGGTTACACATATATTGAGGGCTGTGTATTAGTGGGAGAGCGAGCGAGTGATGCAGGTCTAAAACATTTACCACTTTGGTGAAACCCACATATTATAGTGCTGACCTTGAAACATAATCAGGGAGAACCGGGATTCGAACCCACAACCATAGGTTTCTGGCGTGCCTTATTGGTGCAACGCTGCACAGCGAACTGCGGCGCCTTGGACGACTTGGCCACCCGAGCCCCAAGAGAAACCAACACATAACCGACATTGGTGTAAACGTCATAGGCTCTGTCTGTTGTCTTTGTTTGTTTGTTGTGTAACGCCACACTCAGCAATATTCCAGCTATATGATGGCGGTCTGACATGCATCAACCAAGACAGCGAGTCTGACCACCCAATCCCGTTAGTCGCCTCTTACGACAAGCATAGTCGCCTTTTAGGGCAAGCATGGGTTCTTGAAGACCTTTTCTACCCCGGATCTTCACGGGTACCGTCGGGTACGATGACGCTTCAGTACAACAAAACATCTTACCTCAGTATAATGGACGCTATCAGCAGAGGAACCATAGTGCCAGGGTTGGATTGGATGTCACAGATTGATTGTCAGTGTCGTACTGCGCGCCTCGGGTAGGGCAGGACTTATAAACCCTGCATTGATGATTGCACAACCAATGAGTCCCGCATGTCTGTCACATTCTGCTTGTACAACAATCAATATTTGTGCATGCCCAATGATAGTTCGCTGTAGCTAGTAACGAGTGTGTGTGACGAAACCAAATTGGTTGAAAAGTTTTGTCAGTAGTGACTCGAAGCATGCCCTCTTTTTAGTTCAGACAGCCAGGTGTTAATGCCTTCGCTCGTCACACCGAAGACCCGGGTTCGATTCCCGACATGGGTACAATATGTGAAGCCCATTTCTGGTTTTCCCCGCCGTGATATTGCTGGAATATTGCTAAAAGCGGCCTAAAATCAAACCCACTCAAATTTTGTGACATGACTAATTTTGACTACTTTTCGCGATAATCATGTCCCATATTTTGGTATTGCGATACACACAACACATCATATCAGCATTATTCCTGCTCTATGGCGCCGGTCTCATTAAAATCAGGTCTTAGTCCTCGCTACCGCTTGGGCGGTCGGCTAGCCTAGTGAAGTAAGCCGAGTTCTATGGATGAACAACTTCTTTATTACAATTAGTGCGACGTTTCGGTGTAGATCCTAACACCTTTATCAAGCAAGTGATGGATAGGGCTAAACAACATAGGTATATATACACTCATTGACATCTAAGTTGTTACAGTGACTAGTTGATGGACACAGAGAGGTGATTAAGCTAATTGGAAGCCAGTGGATGACTAATGAACACAGAGTATACTAGCAGAGTAAACAAGCAGACTGATGGAGATGATGGAAGCCACTGTATTAATTGGATGGACAAAGGGATTTAGCAATTAGGTGATAGTAAGCAGGCGGGATGTAATAGCCTTGGTCTCTGTTCATTGCTGGCTGGATCCCATTGCTGGCTAGCCTAGTGGTTAAAACGTTCGCTCGTCACGCCGAAGATCTGGGTATCATTCCCGATATGGGTACAATGTGTAAAGCCCATTTCTGGTGTCCCCCGCCGTGATTGCTGGAATATTGCTAAAAGCCGCGTAAAAACAAACTTACTCACTCACTCACTCTAGCTACGGCTAAACACAGATCTGAGAACGTCCCATCACAGGTCACGGCAGAACGACATTTCGCGAACTTTGAAGAACTACTGAAATGACTACTTATTATCATTATTATCAAAACTTTCGTTCGTTTAATTTGTCCGTACTTTATCTATGCAGCTTCGAAATTAATTTATACCACCTACGAGGTACATTCAGATAATCAATAGGCTATAACAGCCTCTACGTAAATGAAAGTATTCTTTTGTTTGTTTGTTGTTTAATGCCGCACACAGCAATGTCCCAGCTATATGACGGTGGTCAGTAAATAATCGAATCTGAACCAAACAATCCAGTGATTGACTTCATGAGCATCGATCCTCGCAATTGGGGTACGACGACATGCATCAACCAAGACATCCGACCCTGTTTGTCGCCTCTTACGGCAAGCATTGGTGGCTGTGTAAGTAATTACTGGATTAAGGATAAATCATAAATTGCCCTGCGTCCGATCGCTATATTTGCCTAGCAAAGTCGTCCTTCAAAGAAAGGCTCTATAATTGTTTAAATTCATATTAATAACTTGAGTTGTGAGTTTGTGTATTTATATTCGAGATATTTAAAAAACGTACCACTTTATGGATGACAACTTCTGGTTTATTGCATATAGCGACCTTTCGTTGTAGATTCTTAAAGCGATATAAATGCAATAATCTTGGACGCGACGTTAAACCCCATTTCACCTCACCTTGTAGATTCTTTCACCTTAACAAGCTGGAGTGACAACAACAAAGGGATGAGGGTTATATATGCATGACATGTTGTGATAAACAGCAGATTAGGATTAAAGCGATTATACAGTTGTGACAAGCTGATTTGATCCCAATTAAAATAGTCTGTTGCTTAATTAGATCTTCATCGGCAGACAAGATGTAATAACCTTGATCTCTGTTGACCACAGGTTTATGACGACGGATTTCTATAGCTTCTGAGTGTTTTCTTTTGGTGAAGTCCTGATATTTTGTTGAGTGAGTGAGTGAGTTACAACTTAACGTCACATCGGCAGTATTTATGCCATATCGTGACGAGAAGTATATCAATAATACATATATTTACACAATATAAAAAGCTGTCAACGATGGACAGTACAATAACTAGAATATCACAGAGTCTATTTAAAACTAGTTGAGAATATGTAAAAGTTATAAGTATTAGTGAACAACACAATATAAAAATGGGCTAGAGATCGTCAGTAACTGAAGGGAGATCACCATACTAGGGACCATGGAGACTTACAGTGTCTTTGCTTCCTGCATGGACCCCAGCCGGGTTTACAGACAGACATCTCACTTCTGTACATACATAAAACAGCTTTGTACAACTTGACATAGATAGAATGTACAGAACCATTCTATAGAATTATGAGAGACAAATTATCACAGAATTTATACATAAATGATATAAAGATGATATAGTAAAAAGTTATCCATATAAAAGATGTTTTCTACGATTAAGAATTAAAAAGCAGGCTTTGGCAAATATAAAACACACACTGGAGTCACTGAAAATTAAACAAGGTTTGTCGATATCAGGTATATCTAAAACATTATAAGATTTAGCAATACAGTCTTTAAGAAGAGTTGCCCTGATATCGTCATATAATACGCAGTGAAACAAAACATGGACCTCGTCTTCTACGCTGTCATTACAGTGAAAACATTTTCTATTGTTGACGGGTGCACCTTCGTACCGACCGATTCCCACTCGAATAGGAGCCACGCCACATTTAGACTTGGCTAGTGCCGATCTATAGTTTCTGGGCATCTTATTTGAAACATAGTATTCTGTCCCATATACTTGTTTGTAACATCGATACATTCTCAATTTATTAAGCCCATTTCGCCCCTCTTCCTTTCTTAACATATCACTCCAACGGGTAACATATTCATTCATACACCATTGTTCCACCTGTGTACAAACAGAAAATTTATCAATAAAACCTGTCGCGTTTAATAGATGTCCTAAATCCATATTAGTAAACTTCTTTCTTACCCTACCATTCCAATTTTTACAACCATTTACAGCGTATCTATCAGCCCAGTTAAACACGTGTTTGTTTAACCTACTAGACATATTCTTAAGGCGACACCATTGTCTTGCTACACTTTTCCACTGTCTGACAACAGGCTGTATCCATCCCATGACCCCATTTATAGCGACGTTAGGGGCGTATTTGCCGAGTCTCAAATAAAATCTAATGGCTCTATGGTGTACAGCGTTTATTGCTGACACCTAATAATTACCCCAGATAGCCGCCCCGTAGTCAAGAACAGACCACACCATACTATCGTACAATTTGGAATAGGTTTGGAAATGCATACCGCCTATTGTCTTAACTTTGGATATCAACAGGCCAAAGCCCTATTAGCAGACTTCGCTACTGCACGTGTTATTGCAGTAAAATCTAAGTGGTCTGTAAACAGTAGACCAAGATAATTATACTTAGCAGCAATGTCTAAAATCATATTTCCGACATTAAAAACATCCCTCCCGCTGTTGGCGATTAATGAGAAATTTAGCCAGATTAAAGGAACATATATACCACGATTAAAAAAGTGGCAGAAATAAACCTACTTTGAAAGACGTTTTGTTGAGAGGATTTGGATTTGGTCTAACTGAAATTTGATGGCGAGGGAATTTTTACTTGTGGTCTTAGAGGGATGAGTTGCTGTCTGTTTTGGCTGTTGAAGTCTTGTGTTCTTTCATGCGGGTATCTACTGGGCGGGAGATTTCGCAAATGTACGACATACCCGTTGATCCCTACCCTTACTATATATCTTGCTTCACTCCCCGCGTGCTTCAATACCTGTGTGCTATTTGTTATTCTTACTGTATATATGGCTTCACTCCCCGCGTGCTTCAATACCCATGTGCTATTTGTTATCCTTACTGTATATCTGGCTTCTCTCCCCGCGTGCTTCAATACCTGTGTGCTATTTGTTATTCTTACTGTATATCTGGCTTCACTCCCCGCGTGCTTCAATACCTGTGTGTTATTTGTTATCCTTACTGTATATCTGGCTTCTCTCCCCGCCTGATTCAAAACCTGTGTGCTATTTGTAATCCTTACTGTATATCTGGCTTCACTCCCCGCGTGCTTCAATACCCATGTGCTATTTGTTATTCTTACTGTATATCTGGCTTCTCTCCCCGCGTGCTTCAATACCCATGTGCTATTTGTTATTCTTACTGTATATCTGGCTTCTCTCCCCGCGTGCTTCAATACCCATGTGATATTTGTTATTCTTACTGTATATATGGCTTCACTCCCCGCGTGCTTCAATACCTGTGTGCTATTTGTTATTCTTACTGTATATATGGCTTCACTCCCCGCGTGCTTCAATACCTGTGTGCTATTTGTTATTCTTACTGTATATCTGGCTTCACTCCCCGCGTGCTTCAATACCTGTGTGCTATTTGTTATTCTTACTGTATATATGGCTTCTCTCCCCGCGTGCTTCAATACCTGAGTGCTATTTGTTATACTTACTGTATATCTGGCTTCTCTCCCCGCGTGCTTCAATACCCATGTGCTATTTGTTATTCTTACTGTATATCTGGCTTCTCTCCCCGCGTGCTTCAATACCTGTGTGTTATTTGTTATCCTTACTGTATATATGGCTTCTATCCCCGCGTGCTTCAATACCTGTGTGCTATTTGTAATCCTTACTGTATATATGGCTTCTCTCCCCGCGTGCTTCAATACCTGTGTGCTATTTCTAATCCTTACTGTATATATGGCTTCACTCCCCGCGTGCTTCAATACCTGTGTACTATTTGTTATTCTTACGTATATCTGGCTTCACTCCCCGCGTGCTTCAATACCTGTGTGTTATTTGTTATTCTTACTGTATATATGGCTTCTCTCCCCGCGTGCTTCAA